CCCCCCCAGCGGGCCTGGCCCAGAACAAGCCCGGAGGCCCTATCATCCGAGGTACCTCCCTGCCACCCTCTGCCACCTTGGGGGCTGCCTGGGGAGGCAATGGGACCCACGGGCATGACCTCCCCTGATCTGAGGGGTGGGTGCTCATGTAAGCTGCCTCCCTCACTCAGCTGCTTTGTGTTGCAGGGAACGTGTACATCCACCCAACAGCCTCTGTCGACAGCACTGCAGTGGTGAGTGCAGGCCTGGGGGGCCCTGTGGCAGGATGATGCTTGGGGATGCTGAGGGCTCCGTTGTCCTCAATCTCATCACCTCCCTCTGTCCTCACAGTTGGGCCCCAATGTCTCCATTGGGGAGGGGGTGACAGTGGGAGCTGGTGTCCGTGTACGGGAGTCCATAGTGCTGCATGGTGCCTCACTCCATGTAAGTAGGGACTGCCTGAGGGTGCGGGTGTCAATTCCCCTCCTTGCAGGGAGGCAGCAGCACCCTTCATCCTCCTTTCCTGTGTCCCAGGACCACACCTGTGTCCTCAATACCATCGTGGGCTGGGATAGCACCATTGGGCGCTGGGCCCGGGTTGAAGGAACACCCAGTGACCCCAACCCCAACGATCCCTATGCCAAGATTGACAGTGAGACCCTTTTCCGGGATGGGCGCCTCACACCGTCCATCACCATCCTGGGTAGGTACCACCTGCACCGAGCCCCGCACAGTGAAGCTCCCCTTAGGCTAACCCCTCGTGCTCTCTCCACAGGCTGCAGTGTCACCATCCCTGCTGAGGTTGTTATTCTTAATTCCATTGTCCTTCCTCACAAGGAGCTGAGCCGTAGCTACAAAAACCAGATTATCCTGTGAGTCAGCAGCTTGCTAGGCTGGAGGGGCCAGTGCCAGCCACCTACCCCCTGCACAGCAAGAGCCTGTGTGGAGGCTTCACCTCCTGGGAGGCTCCCAGCACCTCCAGAGGGGTAGGTACAGGCCAGGAGCCCTGCAAGTGCCTAACTCCTACTCCAGTCAGACATTAAAGCTGGTGAGCATCAGCCTTGCATGCTGCTTGTCTTGCAGCTCAGGTATCAGCAGGGTGAAGGCTTCAGAGACAGCATGTAGCCTATGCACCAGGCTGTGTGCCTGCGCAGGGAGCCCTGGGCTAAAGCTGGTGAGGAATCACTTGCTGCCTGCAGCATCTTGGGTCGAGCTTTGGGTGTTTCTGCACCAAAGGGCACTACCAGCACTGTCTTGACACTCCTCACCCTACATCAGTTGCTCTCTGCAACTCCCTGGAAGGACTTTGCCCATCTCTGAGGCTGGGAAACTTGCAGTTTTCCTATCCTGTATAGGTAGCTCACCCTGCTGGAGCCGGTTGTAAGGATCCCGATTTCAGCAATGTGATTGCAATAGCGTGAGCTGGGCTCCTGCCTGCTGCTGGGCAAACAAGAGTAGCACCAGGCTGTTGTAAGGGCACTGGCACAAGAGGAGAGCTGGTTTGGCAGGCTGCTGGCCCTGGAGGGAGCTGCAAAAGCACTCCTTCCCCAGCACCACCTCCACCCCAAAGGGCTTGAGATGAGCTGGGAATGCTGCCAGCTCTGCCCAGCCTGCTCCTATCAGGCTGAGAGCTGTACAGGCTCAGGGTGATGGCAGCAGGCCCCTGCCACCTCAGTGGGCCAGGAGCCTCCTCTGCTCCAGTATGGCTACAGCCTGTGGGGCTCGCTGCATGTTTCCCCTTGCACGAGCCACAGGACACCAGAGCAATCAACTTACCTGTGTGCAGAGATCTACTGCCTTACTGTCTCAAGCAACCTGTTTTTATTGAAGGCACAGTCTGTCTACGGGAACCAACACGGCCCTTTATCCACCTCCCCATCTTTGTGTCTGGTTTTGGAGCTCTGTGCTTATGCCCTGCACTTCACTGAGGGCCCCCATCACACCTCTTGCCTTCAGCAAGGCACTGCATTAGAGATTCTCATCCACCCAGTACCACCCCAGCTTGATGGATTTGCAGTGAATCCTTGCTCCGAGCTCTGTGCCTTCCTGTGCCAGTTCTCCTGTGGTCCTGGGTGGGGATTAGCTGTTCCCTGGCTTTAAGCACATTAAACTCCTTCAGTTTTGCCTCTGCCTTGGATGTGCTAATTTCCTTGCCTGTTGGTGAACAACCCTGGGCTGTAGGAAACTGAGCCAAAGTACTTGCTTTCAGGATTGTACATGAATTTTCTTCCATATCCTACATCAGGCCTGGCATTTAGTACAGACAAAGGTTTGCCTAAGGCAACTCTCAGCCCTGGTTGTATAATGCTTCTTTTGCCCAAGTGGCCCTTGCAGTGGCCGTCCCTTTGTGCAATTATCTGGGGACAAGCCCGTCCTGGGCCCTTGCTCTATTACAGTCTCATCCAGCTTCTCCCTCGTGGAGGGAGAGTCTGCCCTGCCTGGGCTTTGCAGCTCAGCAGTGGTAGGTGGAGGGGAGGAAGGAGTTAAAGGGGCCTCAGCTGAGGTGCCAGGAAGTCTGGAAACACTTTAAGGTTGGCCTGCCCTGAGCAGCAGCAGCTCCGATTACTTGAGGCCAACATCTGGGCTGAAAGAGGGGCCTCCCACATCCTGGGCTCCAGGGCAGGGAGAGAAGAGCTTCAGCTAGGGCTGGAGGAGCCTCTGCCAGCCCTCCTCACCCAACAAAAGCAGGGATTTTGGGGAGCACTGTGCACCCTTGCTGTCAGTACAGCTCTTTGCTGCCCAGCCCGTCTCCATCATGCCAGTGAGCCCCAAAACCCTGGCAGCAGCAGGGAGGGGTAGACAGCAACCACAGCCAGGCTTGTTTTGCTGCAAACATTTAATACAAACCACACCTAAAGTATCCCACCACCACAGCTGGGCAGAGCCAGCCTTGTTCCCTATTTCCCACGCAGGGAAGCAGAGGCTGCCTGGTCCCACAGGCTTCCCTCTTCCAGTGCCAGCTCCATGCCCCCTGGGAACCTCTGCTGCAGGAGGCTACACAGGAGAAGGGAAGAACCTGCCCACCTTCTTCGGGGCTGGCCCCTGCCTGCGTGGGGAGAGATGAGTTGGGGGGTGTGCAGCAAGCTCCACTGCCCTGGTCCCCAGACACCCATCCCCGCAGCACTCACGAGGGCTGAGCGCCCATGCCTACACAGCTCCACAGGGTGCCAGGGAGGCAGCAGGAGCCCGGGGGGCTCAGC